TTCTCTCCTCTCCTCTCCCCCTCCCCTCCCTTCTCTTCTCTTCCCTTCTCTTCTCCCCTTCCTTTCACTTCCCTTCCTCCCTCTCCTCTACACACACTAGGATGTAATAAAATTAGTCAAAAAACTTTATTAACCCCAGAATTTTTATTATTCTCTGGCTACCCACTATCATCACCTGACCTGAATATGTGGCCAGCACAATTTCGTCATAACCATCCTTCCCTACACAGCCGCCCTGGATCGACGTGACACTTTCAGACAGCATCTACAGTAAATGTAAAATCCACTTCATTAATATTTAAACATTTCAAAGACATGTTAAAACAAGCCACAAAACTTTTCTTCTTGTGTCCAGATATTCAATACATATGTAGTGTATGTCCATCATGTGCAGACACTGAGGAAAACCTGAACGAATGCTGGAAAGTTCCAGCATTTTTAAATATAGGAAAGAAGATTCAGAATAACTAGTATATTTGTGACAAAACTATATAAAGAAGAGAAGTTTGGTAAATTATATAAACAAAACAGATAGTAAATTTAATCTAGTCTGTAAACTTCTTCAGAGGATTTTTATCTTTTTCTCTAATTAAAAAAAACTATGCTTTCACTGCATATTCTTAAGTTAATTTCTAGAATTTTTATCATAACCTTATGGAAGTTGTACATAATATTTTAAAATAAAACCATGGCATTTAAAAATCATACCCAGAGCTGGAGAGATGGCTCAGTGGTTAAGAGTACTGGCTGCTTCTCCAGAAGTCCTGAGTTCAATTCCCAGCAACCACATGGTGGTTCACAAACATCTACAATGAGTTTTGATGCCCTCTTGTGGCAGGCAGGCATACATGCAGATAGAGCACTCATATATAAAGTAAATAAATCTTAAACAAACAAACAAAAAAACAAAAAATCATACCCATTGACTCTAAATACCAGGAAAAATTTATATACAAAACCATTGACATTAAAGTAAGAAAGTTTTAGAATAACTGAATGTAACAGAATGTTACATTGTTCCTTTCATTTGAAGTGTGTGGGCATGCACTCTCCAGTGTGAGTGTGGACTCAGAAGACAACCCTGAGGAGTTGTTTCTTCTGTCCAGCCTTACATGGCTAAGGGGACCCAAAGCACTCTGCCAGGCTTGTGTGGCACCTCTACGCACTAAACTATCTGGCAAGCTGCACTGCTTTTAAAAGTCAACATTCTCTCTCTCTCTCTCTCTCTCTCTCTCTCTCTCTCTCTCTCTCTCACACACACACACACACACACACACACTCACCCCTCCCTCTCCCTCTCCCTCCTCCTCCCCCCTCTCATGCTTGTGCACGGTATATGTCAACATTTATTTTCATTCCACTTTCTCCACATACTTTCATTTTAATGTAATGGACTCATGCATTTTAATATAATTTGATGAAATTCCTCTAACATGTTATATATTTATATGTGTTTGGTGGGTGAGGTAAGTGCGCACGACTGCACCCAAAAAAAAAATCCTGAAGCCTCAGAACATCTCAGAGCCAGAGTTACAGGCTGTTGTAAGCCATTGAAATGCACACAGGGAATAAAGTGTAGGTCCTGCAGGAGCAGTACCGGGACTCAGTCAGCAGAGGCTCCATGACCCTACTCCTCTCCTAAGAACCAAAGCCACACTGAACCTCTTTAAAAGCAGCCTGCCCTCTCAGACCTCAGTAATGGAAAGCAGTAGCAGTAACACCAGCCTATGAAACAAAACACTATATAGCAACAAAAGAAGAGAATCCTGTGTTCTGAAACAGTGCAGATGGAATTGGAAAGCATGTGAATTGAAAGAAACCAGACATAGTACACATGTTCTCATTCACATGCAGAACATGAGCCTCCGCTCACAGGAGTTAAGGACAGAATGGTGGGCCCTGCAGTTGTTGAGCAGGGAAGGGACGAGTAATAGGAAGTTGGTTAACGAGCATCAGTATAGTTATATATGTATCAAGTTGAGACATTTGATTTAGTTTTACTTATCTGTTGAAGTTTTGATAGTGAATCATGACACAGAAAGGAAGAGTGCTTGCCATTGCATAGGGCGACTGCAGACAGCAATTATCTATGTTTCAAAGGGCTACAAGAAACCATTTTGAGCATTTTCACCCAAGAAATATGTTTAACACTATTTAAACATTATACTCAGGAACGGGCAAGATAGCTCAGTGGGTAAAGAAGCTTACTGCCAAACTGAAGCCTGAGTTTGATTCCTGGGACCCACATGGTGGAAAGAGAGAACCAATACCCGAAAGTTATCCTCTGACCTCTGCATATGTGCACTTACAACACACACAAATGCCGCTCCACAAACATTAATATATTAAGTTATAAATAAATGTAATTGAAAATATTTAAAGGGAAAATATTTGGTATCATCATATGATACCACCACTCATATATAGCTTTTGCTTTTATGTATCAGAAAAATAAATTAATAAAAAAGATATATAAAAATTCCATGTATGCCAGAATGCTTGTCTATATTGACTCAATATCTTTTAATTACATTTAAAATTTCTGAACTAGAATGACTTTACCTAGTATTTCTTCTTTTCTAAGAAAACAGGTCCTTAGCCGGGCGGTGGTGGCGCACGCCTTTAATCCCAGCACTTGGGAGGCAGAGGCAGGTGGATTTCTGAGTTCCAGAGTTCGAGGCTAGCCTGGTCTGCAGAGTGAGTTCCAGGACAGCCAGGGCTGCACAGAGAAACCCTGTCTCGAAACCCTCCCCCCCAAAAAAAAAGAAAGAAAAAAAAGAAAGAAAGAAAGAGAGAAAGGAAGAAAGAAGGAAAGAAAGAAAACAGGTCCTTAAGTGTTTAGATGTGAGACTATATTTAGGAAGTACCTGCTTCAAGGTAGTTTCTATAGAATCCTAACAGTGTGGTCTACATATCTACGTTCTTATTATCTTAAAACAAAAATCTCACCAATGAAAACCAAACATATGTTTTCCCTATACTGTGTTGTTATGATTTATAGAAGCTAGAAAAAATATTTAATACCTAATAAATTTAAAATTATATTTAAGAATGATAATGAAAACGGAATTTATTCTTCAGCTTAAGGACAATACTCCTTCACTAAACAGGAGAACAGAGTAGAGATTTTGTTATTGGCAACATTTTTACAAGTATTTATTGATTTGTCCTGCTGGTCAGACCTAGAGCCTTGGACACTTTAGGAAAGCATTTACCAATAAGCAATGTTGTGGGCCTTCTTCATTTCTGTTTGAGACAGAGTCTCATTAAAGTTGATTACTCTTCCAGGCAGGCCTCGAATTCCTGATCTTTCTGCCTCAGCCTGTTGTTGGGATTTAGAGGCGTAACCACCAGATTGAGATAGAATAACAACATTTTGTTTTTTAAGAAACAATATTGTTCTATATTTTTAATTCACCAAAATTCAAACTATCAACCATCTCTACAATAACTAACGAAAAGTAAGTATGTAGTCTTTGTTTTGTTTTTGCTTCTGGTTTATAATATTAGAGGCAGAACCAGGATTTTGTACACACTAGGCCAGTCCTCCACACCCAGCTACCACTCCAGTCCCCACACAAATCTTTCTAAATTAACGTACCTGATCAAATCGTAGCACAGGCTCATTCGTACTCTCAAAACTATACACTTCCACCATTCCATCATCTCTCCCAACAAGTAAATCTTTCACCCCATCACCCATGATATCAAAGCTGTCAACACACAGGATACCTATGAAAAGGGTGAGTTATAAGCAATGAGATGCAGTAGAGTATGGACATATGTTCATATGTCTTCATACCACATAGTCATCAAAACTTTATTGTTAAAAAACCAAAAGAACAACTTTGCACATAATTAGGTGTTTCTCTCTTTTCCAAAGCTTTGAACACAATTTACACAGCAATGCACCCACGTGTACACTCCCTTTAGCTCTGACCCTCAGTAAGCCCCAGGCTCTCATGTGGTAGTTTGGCACCTTCCTGTACACACGGCCACCTCACACTCTTCCTGCCCTAAGCATAGTTCTTTACTACTCTGTTGCAGTGTTTCAGCACTGCTCACTCTCCGGACGTCCTCCATTTCAGTAAATTATGCCACTCAGCTGCACAGACAAAACAATTCTAGGCTCTGTCTCTGACATCACTCTTATCCCTCTCTGTATCAAACCCATGGCCTCCACATATATACCTCAACTTTCTTGTCTTTCTACTTCCATAATAGGAAGGATGAACCAGGATGCTCTGAAGTATAATAAATCATGGTAACTACAACTTCCAAGTGCTCTCTCTGTTTCCAATGTGGCTGTCTCTTCCCAAATCCATTTGACTGTGTCTCACCTTCCACATCCAGTCCTCCCAGGACTCTCCACTGCACTCTACCTGAAACGCCCTGGTCCAAGGCTCCACGGACCTACCGTTGGCCCTGCTCCTGTATCTTCTCCTCAGGCCACACTGCTGCTCAGCCACACTGGTCTTTCCGTTGTCCTCCAGTGAATCTAGCTCACCTCCGTCTCATGGGCTTAACAATTATTGTTTTTCCTCCTCTTAGAATATTCTTTCCCCAAATCTTCTCAGCTCAAATTTGCCTTTCCTAAAGCACCTTCTTCCTCTGACCACTGAGTCTAAGAGGAACTGTGCCCACCATTCCCTCTACCATACACTGTTCTGTGTTCTCTTCAGATGACCAGGGGCAGTGGGCACACAGAGGCATCATCTGTTCTCTCTCTCCCACAGTAAGTATTTGCTAAGGGATAAATGAACAGATGAACAAATACTCTGTACATATAAAGAGCCAGCTCACTGGCTGCCAAGTTGGGTGTAAATTTTTGGAAATCTTTAGTCTTTAAAAATTGGAATAGTTTCTGACCCAGTACTACATTCTTCATATCCTAGATTCCAATTAATTCTCTATCCCAGTTAAAATGGGGTTTAACGGACTAAAGGGTATTAACCTCTATGTCTGTATCCCAAACTACAAGTAGCATTTCTTATTTTAAAAATTACATCTATAGTATAACAGTTGCCATAATCACATAGTAGCTAAATCAGAGGTGGTTCTGTAAATCTCTAAGCCTGCTGTCTAATATAACTAAAGCAAACAGAATACATTGCCCACTCTATTGTACTAGATGACTATTGACAATTCATAACTGTGTGGAAGCCTACCTCCCCGCTTTTTGTCATTTCGAATTTCCCATTTGTGTATTGGTTTGGATGCTGTGATCTGAATCAGCCCGAGTCTTCCATCTGATGTGCCGAACAGAAGGCCTTCTCCAGAGTCACCTAGTTAAAATTAAAACAAACAAAAACATACAAATACCTTTAAACATTTTTAATGTAAAAATCTCATTTTTCAAATGCTATATTAAGGGAAATGTTTAAGGAAAAATCTTAGATGTATATGTATCAAAATATCACAATACCATTCACATGTAGTTTTTTGTTTTTATGTATCCGAAAAATAAACTTATAAAAAATAGAAAAAGATTCCATATATGCCAGAATGTTGACTCTATACCTTTTAGTTACATTTAATTTTTCTGAACTAAGATGACTTTATCTAGCATTTCTTCTTTCAAAGAAAGCTGGTCCTTCAGTGTCTAGACTTGAGACTATTATTACTCCCCTGGAATCCTAATAATATGACCTTCATGTCTATGCTCTCATTAAGACAACAGTGTCATCAAAGAGGGCCAAACATGTTGCCTCTACACTGTGTAGTTATGATTATAGAAATTAGAATGAAATAGTCACCATGTAGTTACAAAGTAAAGCATATTCCCTACAACTGATTTCAAGATGAGGAAGCTCACTGATTCGTAAGTGAGCAGGAAGTGAGTGGAAGAGAACACACGACTGCTACACTGAGTGATAGCCCCTGCTCAGACTTCCTCTTCGCATGCATGGCTGGCTGTGAATACTGAATGTGATTACCGCCATCTCCATTATGTAGTGCTAGGACGGTGGGTGGACCAGGAACCTCGATTTCATATGTCACATTAGATCCCTAAAGGAAAATAAGAATTTTCAAAACTGAAACTGAAAAGCATTCAAAAGAATATGGGCAATGATTAGAAACATCAATATCTAAGCAGATAACTCATAAAAACATTTAAAGTAAAAGTGCTTTAAGAAAGTATGTCATAAATATGAATGTGTTTGTCAATAATTTTGCAAATATTAACATACTGGAAATGAAATACATATGCCAAGGAGAAAAATACATAATATATTCTCTACTTTCATTATCCTTCATTTTTTAATTTTGAACTTTATCAGAAAAAGAAAACCCATAATTAACCAGATCTAAAGACCAAACAACTCAATGAACTTCTAGACAGAAGAGTCATTTCTAATATGTTGCTTATCTGCAAACCAGACTGGTGAACCCCTTTCAAAACTTTCCAGGAACAAGTGTCATTTCTTCTGTCTTCTTTGGTATTAACTGGAGTTTAACATAGAATACCTTCAAAACTCTGAGCACCCTCAAAGCTGCTCATAAGAAAATTCTGGCTCTGCCTTTTGGTATTCCCCAAACTCATAGCCGCAATGAGGCAAAATCATCTACTACTTAGCTAAGAAAACAAGCTGGGACCTGGTGTTTGTTTTGTTTGTTTGTTTGTTTGTTTTCAATTTTGCCACTTACACAATTCAGTGAATTTACCATTTACAATATTTTAATGCAGATTTAGAACATAGAAAAAGGCATATGCGCCTCCTTTATTAATCATTTTAAAATTTATAGACATCTACAAGTAAAAAAGGAACACCCATAGTTGTAAAAGAGGCAAGTTCAGAGGATGGAGTATTCTCAGAGGCAGGAAAGGAGAAATGAGCATAGCAGAAGGAAAAAGTTCTGTTCCCTCCTTTCACAGGTCCTTGGTGATTTATTTTTAAAAATAAGAATGCAGGCAGGCATGATTGCACACACCTTTGACCCCAGCACTTGGGAGGCAGAGACTTGTGGATCTCTGTGAGTTTGAGCCTATCCTGGTTTACAAAGTTCTGGTCCACACAGGAACTACATGGTAATACCATGTCTAGAAAAAAATAAAATGACAAATAAGCATATAAATAATTAAGCAAATAAACAAAGAAAGAAAAAAGAAAGAAAGAAGGAAGGAAGGAAGGAAGGAAGGAAGGAAGGAAGGAAGGAAGGAAAGAAAGAAAGAAGGAAAGAAAGAAAGAAAGAAAGAAAGAAAGAAAGAAAGAAGGAAAGAAAGAAGGAAAGAAAGAAAGAAGAAAGAAAGAAAGAAAGAAAGAAAAGGATACAGATAGCCTCTTATGAAGCAAAGCAAAATCTAGGAATCAGCTAGGTAACTTTTAGCTGAATGCTTGCCCATTCCTGCTTTGGATATTTTGAAGCAGAATCTCCTATATCCTGGGCAGATGTCAGACAATTTCCTATGAAGCTAAGGATGAGACTGATTTTCTGACTCTCCTGCCTGTGCCTCCCGTGTGCTGAGGTCTCAGGGCTGTTCCACAACATCAAGTTTATGTCACACTGGGTTTCAAGCATGTCAGGAAAACAGTCTACCATTTATTTATGCAATGAATTACTTACTGAGTAATTTATTCCATATGTGTTTAAATGATTAATAAATTCAAATTATTTGTCACCTCCTTTTCTACCCAATTTTCCCTTTTAGTTTTTGAGGACTAGAAAAGTACTGAAGGAGCAAGTGGGGACCATGTGGACACTCGTTATCCGAATCCCAGCTCTCTATCTGATGGTGGGCATTCTGGACTGGGGATGGGTGAGCTGAAGGTAGCCATTTCCCTCTCTATATATATTCTAAAAATGTTCAAAAGATTTCAACACATTTGCCTGAAATAAGATAGAAATTATCAAATGTAAAAATATTGTCTCACATTCAACTTTACATAGGGTACTTACAGTAGGAAGCATAAAGTAGCCTTAAAGCATATGGCACTCATAATGATTTACTGAATAATGAAGAGTTCTAAAAGTTCAAAGGGCATCACCTGTAAGACTCGGAGTACCCTGTCCTGGCAGGCCAACACCGGTGTCATTCGAGATAACCTTTCCACGGGAAGGCAGATGACATCGTTGATTTTGTCCCCAGAAAGGTAGTAATTTTGGTCTTTGCAATCACAGTAGTGGTTATAGATGTAGCTGGCACTGAGAAAGAGGTCAGAGCCACATATGTACCTGACGACATGAAAGTAATAATTTAGGACACTCAGAGTTGAAAACAGTTTACGTACATTGTATAAAGGTATGGTTTTTTTTACATTTCCCCCATTTAATCTCTATACCCTCTCCCTCTTTAAGGCAGGTTCTAGAGCAGTTCTAGACTGTCCTTAATCTCGCCCTAATAGCTGAGGGCGACCTTGGAACCAATGATTATCCTCTTCCTCTATCCGCGGAGTGTGGGGTTATAGGTACCAACCATGCAGCTTTAATCTTTAACCATTTGGTACATACAACACTTTGATTCTGAAAACTCCAAATGAGGACTGTAAGTTAGGCTTCTCAATAAAAGGCTCAGAAAAACTAAGTACTATTTGTCAAGCACTGTTCTAATTGATATACCCAAGTTAGCAAGTTAACACTCAGAATCCTATAGAATGTTGTTTTCCTTTTTATAACTGAATAGCAAAATGTTCCCAGGACTAATGGCTCATACTGTAAATGAGAGACTGCAGGTGAGGATAACTTCAGCTCCAGAGTTAGCTTCACACTAATGTGCCTAGAAAAGTACATTTCAGTTGACTTTAAAGTAAATGATGGCCGGGCGGTGGTGGCGCACGCCTTTAATCCCAGCACTTGGGAGGCAGAGGCAGGCAGATTTCTGAGTTCGAGGCCAGACTGGTCTACAGAGTGAGTTCCAGGACAGCCAGGACTACACAGAGAAACTCTGTCTCGAAAAACCAAAAAAAAAAAAAAAAAAGTCTAAAGTAAATGATGAATGATGGAAATGTTTTCGTCAGGATGTTATCTCGGAGATAAGCTCATTTGCAATGGGTTTTAACCAAGTGTGGCTGATAATTACAGCACGTTTCAAATGCTCGATCTACAAGGTCATTTCAAAACCATTGGAAATCATTTTCACTTGTTGCTGTTGAATTCTTGTCTCACTTTAAAGGCCAGACTTTTAAAAGTCCTCACAGTCAAGAGAAATACCATACACTGCACAGAATGACACATAGCATCTGTCCACTATACAAAGACACTGTGAATTAACAGTGTCCAAACCAGGCCTCTGGCTACATCACAGCAAAGGAAGAAACTTAAAAGCCATCCTAGTTACTCTGCTTATCAAGTGTGAGGGAGGCTATTGCTATTAGTCTTCTCAAGAAGTCCTTGGGTTAACAGGGTTTAGAGAAGAGGAGAAAGGAGGGGGACATGGGGGGAGGGACAGTGTGAGGGGGGGACCTGGAAGGGGGGGAAGCAATTGGCATAAAAAGTAAACAAATAAATAAATAACAAATGAAAAAAAAAGAGGGAAGTTACATGAACTTTACGGCCTCTCTAGCCCCCATGGCTCAAAAACTACAATTTTAGGACAGACGAGATGTCTCAGAAGGGAAAGAGCTTATCCTGTAAAGCCTGATGGCCTGAATTCTCTCTCTAGAATTCACATAAAGGTAGGAAAGTCACTCTCTGAGTCTTTTTCTGCTCTCTACCCATGAACCACGGCAACGCAGGTTCATCTCTGTCTCTTACCTGCTTCCCCCACCACTCAACAGGAAACAAAAGTCTAAATTTTTAACTGTGAAATTTCACATGTCAGGAAGCCTTGTATTTTTCACATAGCCTTACCTAATTCACCAGAAATCACAACCATTAGTGGTCCTCAACTTTAGAGGCCGGGCTTTGTCTCTTAAGACCAGGTCTCACTCTGCTGTAGCCCATGTGGATGGTGAATTCATTATACACTCCAGATTTGCCTCCAATTTGTGACAACCCTCTGCCTCAGTCTCCCAGGTATGGGGATTTCAGGCATGAGCCACCACACTCAGGGACCAGTCACCCTTTAATATAATGTCCTTAGCTCAAAATCAGAACTACCAAAGACACTTGAGAAACAGGAACCTGTGTGCCTAGGTGGTTTGGTTTTTTTTAAACTTTTGACATATACCTTATCATTATCATAACTGAACCAGGCAGTGAAAACTGAATGTATACAACTTTACACTTCAAAATAGTTAGCAGAGAGGGTTTAGAATGTTCCCAACATAAATTATGTCAGAGGTGATGAATATGCAAATTACTCCAATCTGCTATCACGTATCATACACACGTGTTAACACCACTCTGTGACTTACAAATGCACACAATTACTATGCATCTACGAAAAATATTAAAAGTTCTCACAAAACAGAAAGTGAATGTGAGTGCACACACACACACACACACACACACACACACACAACTATGAAATTGAAAACATTTCAACAGCCAATCAACTGTGTATTGATTCCAGGTTCTGACTAATGAAATCCCTGTAGCCAATTTCCTTTTCCAGAAAACCTACTAATGTATACTAACTTAATCCTATGTTTTACCTCAACCCAGTGTGTTATAGATACATGCATAAACATAAAGGAGAACAAAGACATACATAGCTTTAATGCTTTCGGTGAGGTTTGTTTCAAAAGAGAGGAACTGTTTCCCTCTCTTTGTAAAGCCTCTAATCTCGGACCCTGCAGCAATGAAAATTTTCTCCTGAGGCGTGTTAAGAGCCCCTCCTAGTTCCAGTCTCGAGATCTTCTGCCCTGGTAAAGTCTTGAACACTGGCTGCAAAAATCAATTGGAGAAAATGTTAAGTGTACAAGCTATTTCACTGTAAATATTTTCCTGTACTACAGAAGCTATGATTTTAAACTAATGTTACAAATATTTTCCACTTCTATATTTTAGGAAGACATTAACTTAGGAGTACCTAGCAAGTAGTGCATCTGTCTTTTGGAAAAACTGCTGCCTAAAACAGCTCCACTCACCCCGGCCTCTCCTTTCTTCATGCCGAAGCATATCACTACCCCATCTTGATCTCCAATAACCACCTGCAATACATGGATTCAGAGTCTAAGTTTACTGTTATGCTAAAAAGTTCATCAGTGCCTTCAGATTACACACTACAGGAATACCCAAGAAACCTCATCAAATTTAAATATAGCATCACAAGCTATAGTTATCTAAAAAAGCGACTTGAAGATCTTTCTCTATTTTCAACTGTATATCCATGTAACTGACTAAATGAGGTTTTTCCTATGTATTGCAACCAAAACAAAACATCACAACAGACTGAAAGCGGAGAAAACAAAAGAGGCCACCTACCTCGGCTTATGAAACACATTTAAGAATTTGCAAAAATATAACATAGTATCAATATTACCTCTAAATTATGCTATTTTGAAAATATACTTTTAATAAAAATATGGTTTTCATGTAAGCATGATGAATTTAATTTTAATATTTTAAGAATTTCTGAGATTTAATTTTCATATAGTAAGTACTGATATTATATACATAAATAAGTTCTTTCAGATTCTCAACAATTTAAATGAGTAAACTTTTTGAGAAGTGCTATTATATCTAGAATATAATAAACAATAATCTTGATTTATTATTCTTGAAATTCTGTTTAAAATGTCAGATTTTGTCGGGCGGTGGTGGCGCACGCCTTTAATCCCAGCACTTGGGAGGCGGAGGCAGGCGGATTTCTGAGTTCAAGAGTTCGAGGCTAGCCTGGTCTACAGAGTGAGTTCCAGGACAGCCAGGGCTACACAGAGAAACCCTGTCTCGAAAAACCAAAAAAAAAAAAAAAAGTCAGATTTCTCTCACATATTTAAATACCTTATTTGTAAGAACTGCCCTTATTCAAATCACTTCAAAAATGCAGCCAAAGGTCAAATAATGTATTTAAGTTGATTTATCAAGAAAAAAAATCTTGTAATTCATTTTGATAAATGTTAACATATCAAGATAATATATTTACTTTGCAACTATTAAAATACTACAAAATAATTCATTTTTGTCTATAAGAAGTCAAGCTAATACAAAGTTCAACATTTAAAACCAATAATTCAACAAGAGAAGATTTAAACCAGGCATGATTGCTCAAGTCTATAATCCCTGAATTTCTGATGCTGAAGTAGGAAGATCAAGAGTTCAAGGTCAGCCTCAGCTACATCAAAATCTGTCTTAAAAATAAAATAAATAAGTAAAAATAAAACAACAAAATAGAAATTTTAAAGAAATTATTTTATCAATGTTCTGTTGTAGTTTACACTTCTTTTTCCATATACTATACAGCCTGATACACAGAATGAATTATTACCAAAAATGAGTGTTTTTGTCCAGTTTTGTTTTCAGTGCTAGGGACTAACCTCAGGGTCTTGAACATGCTAATAAGTCTCTATCACTGAACTACAACTGAAGCTCACGATGAATGATTCTTATCAAGTTTCCTCACACAACTTACTACTTGTATGTAATATCAATGTCCAAGAACACGACTTTCTGTAAACACTGGCTCCTACTCCGGCTTTGTTCATTTCCATCTTAACATCAGCTCCTGTTACACACCAAGATACCAACACAGATGGCACCGTGAGCCTGTCCTGTCAGGCAGGAGAAGGCAGAGAAGTCAGCATCTACAGCACCTTTTGTGTAGCTCTTTGTCTTGAGGTAGGAAGCAACTTCATAGTCTTCTGAGAGGTCACGCCTACCTAAGAAAACAGAATAGGCAACTAGTGAATGTTTTTGGATATACTGTAATTTGAAGTTCTTACATAGGATATTTAAGAAGAAGAGATCAGATCATGGTGAGTTTTAGGGTTTTTTTGTTTGTTTGTTTTACTGAAATGTATATTCTTATCAATTAACTTGTATCTAATTGAAATATGTCAGAGAAAGCCAAAATACAGGAAACAACCCAGAACGTTAAAAAATAGTTGTGTAACATTACTGGCAAGGAGTTTCAGAAAATATCTTCAGAAGCCCTTCCCAATAGGGACTTTTGAAAATAGGGACTTTTTCCTAAAAAAAAAAAAAAAAAAAAAAAAAATACCTGCTGACATCGTAAAATTCCAGTGTAACTGACCATGACTATTTTACGAAAGGCACAGGGGATGAAAACAGAGGACTTGTTCAGCAGAGGTGTCTGTTAACAGAACTTAAAAACAACCAATCATGGAAAAAACACATATAGTGCAGGTATGACTTTATTCTGAATTTTTAGGCACGCTGTTAAAGTTTTAAGCAATCCATTTAGTTTGATATTGTCAAGTGATTTGAACCATAGCTTGGGGAAGTTGGACATGGAGATTGTAGGTCTTGTCCATCCAAGCTAATGGTGAGAACCCAAACTGGGCATCATAGAGATGGTGAACAACTGGACAGCTCCAAGAGGTAATTACAGAATGTAGCTTCCATAAGACACTAAAGTGAACGATCTGGCCCAACCCCCTGGGAAACTAAGCAAATGTTTATACCACGAAGAACTCTTAAGAGATGGTTAAGAGAGATGCAACAAGTCATGCACCAAAGGAATACCCGCTCCGGAGTTCGCTTTGATTTAAAAAGCAACTGCATAATTTGTTACTACGGGACAAAGTATTTACCTTCTCTGGGCTCCTGACTCTTCACTTGCACTAACTACCTGGTGGTGTATTTCTGTGATGATTTAGTAAGCTTAATAGGGCTGTGATGGTTTACTGAAATATATAGCTAGTGTGATCAGGCCCAGGGGGAGTGGCAGGGCAGTCGAGGCCCCTGGGAGCGGCTGAGACACCCCCAGGACCCGGGCCTGAAGGGACCGGGGCTTCCTCAGGCCCGCGTCTACCCACGAGGGCGCCCGCCGACCGGTTTACCTGGAGATAGTCAGCCCGGCTTAAGGTCAGATCCATGGCGGCTGCACACGGAGGGCCTGGATCCGCTTGCCGATGTGGAAGCCTTCCCTCGGAGAGCTCACCACTAGACGGATGAGTCGGTCTGCGTCAGGGCAGCGGCGCCCAGCAACGCCGGCTCGACACGTGACCAGTCTTAGCTCACTGTGAAGTCCCGCCCTCTCCCGGAGAGCTGCACCAAGAAAACTGGGTGGAGGGAATGGTCCTCAGAGGCTGGCCGGTTTCCAGGGCAACCGGGGAGTGTTCTCTCTGGGCCGCTGGGCCAGCGACCTGCTTGGAACTTCACTCTGCATGCATGTTCCTTCAGATCTGAGTGAAGATTCATTTTTATTTCGTGTGTTTATGAATACAGATATTTATGCGCATCACATGATTGTTGCCTTCTAAGGAGGCCAGGGCCTTGGGACTCCCAAGTGTTTGCTGAGAAACAGAATCTTGGGTCCTGGGCAAGAGCAGCAAGCACTCTTAACCACTGAGCACACAAATTTTAAAACAACAACAAAACCCACAGACTGTATTTATGTAGTTATGTAGCGTGAGTGTGTGTGTTGGTCATGTTGAAGTCAGAGAACAACTTTCAGGAGTCATTCTTTCCACCCTGAGGATCTGAGTCGTTGAGCTTTGTGGCAAGTTCTTTTAACTGCTGGGTCATCTTGCCAATCTCCCTCCTCCCATTCTCCAACTATGCTCCCCTCCCCCAGGGCCACAGTACAAGACTCTGAGTCAAACAAATCAAATCAGCCGGGCAGTGGTGGCATATGCCTTTAATCCCAGCACTTGGGAGGCAGGTGGATTTCTGAGTTCGAGGCCAGCCTGGTCTACAGAGTGAGTTCCAGGACAGCCAGAGCTATACAGAGAAACCCTGTCTCAAAAAACCAAACCAACCAAACAAACAAACAAAAAAATCAAAACATAACACTAAAACCAAAGAAAGAAGTTTGAAACAATAGAATAAAGAGAGAAACTAAACAGTAACGACACAGAAAATTTGAGTAGCAAGTAATGAAAAGTCACCTAAGAAAAGAAGTTCAGGATTGGCAACTTCAAACAAAACCCAGTTCTTCCCAAACTATTTCCTAAAATTGAAAAGGATGGGGCTTTTCCAAACTCTTGTAGGCCACCATTTTCTCATTCCAAAACCAGCAATGACACAAGAGAAATACACACACACACACACACACACACACACACACACACAGAGCCTCTTGTCACATGTCTAATGCTACCTTCAGACGCTGCTAACAAAAAAAAGCATCACCATGTGTGATGGTTTGTATATCCTTGGGCCAGGGAGTGGCACTATTAGGAGATGTGGCCTTGTTGGAATAGGTATGTCGCTGTGGGTGTGGACTTTATTACCCTAGCCCTAGCTGCCTGGAAGGGATTATTCTGTTAGCCACCTTCAGACGAAGATGTAGAACTCTCAGCTCCTCCTGCACCATGCCAGCCTGGATGCTGCCACGCTCCTACTTTGATGATAATGAACTGAACCTTTGAATCTGTAAGCTAGACCCAATCAAATATTGTCCTTATAAAAGCTGCCTTGGTCATGGTGTCTGTTCACAGCAGTAAAACCCTAACTAAGATACCACGTGCAATCCTTCCAACTAGTATGGACCAGAATTATGAGCAAAAATAAACTTATTTCTTTAAAACTTAAAAATAGAAAGAAAAAAGGAGAAAGAAGGAAAAAAAGGCAATGAAAAGTCTAGTCAGAGATTACTGATGAGACAAAGAAGCAAAAACTTCAAAACAAACAAACAAACTAGCCACAATTCCAACAGCACAACAAAGATGTCATTCCAGCCAGGTGCAGTAAAGCACCCTGTAATGCCAGCTACTCCTAGGTCTAGGTAAGGCAGTCATTAATTAAAAGCCCTGGGTAACATGGTGAAAAGTGTCTCAAAAAAAAAACAATAAATAAATTTTCAACATCCTTTTGTCACAAAAATTTTGAACAAATCTAAGTGTATAAAGAACGTGTGTGCTGGGGCTGGAGAGATGGCCTAGTGGTTAAGAACACTAGCTGCTCTTCCAGAGAACCTGTGTTCATTTCCCAGCACCCACATGGCAGCTTATAACTGTCTATAATCCCAGTTAGAGGGGATCTGACACTCTCACACAGACATCCATGCAGGCAAAACACCAATGTATATAAAATAAATAAAAACCCATGTGTCATTATAAAGGTTACATAATACAAGTCCACAGCCAATGTCAAAGTGAAGGGGGAAATCTGAAAGGATTCCTCCTAAGATCTAGAAAAAGATAAGAGCATCTGCTTTTGCCACTCTTAATATAGTTCTGGACTGTGGAGTAATTAGCAAGAGAAAGAAATAAAAGTATATGAATAGAAAAAGAAGTTACATTGTCTCTGCAGATGATATAAACTATACATAGAAAGACCTCAAGACCAGCTAAGAGTGTTAGAACTAATAAATTAAGTCTTTAAAGTTGAAGTGTACAAAATTAACATGTAAAAAAATCATGATTTTGCGCACCAAACTTTGTGAGATAAATTTATTTACTAAATAAATAAATAAACAATCTAGCAGTTCTGGAGTCGTGGCTCAGTGGTAGAGAGCTTGCCTCCCATTCACAAAACCCTAGGCTTGACTGTCAGCCCTGCATCACTGGGTGTGAGTCATGTGACTGTAATTTGTTTAGGGCTACATTGTATTAAGGATGAGAATAACCAGGTGTGGTGGCACACTCCTTTAATCCCAGCACGGAAGAAGCCGAGGCAGGTGGATCTTTGTGAACTCCAGGACAGCCTGATCTGTATAATAAGTTCCAGGACAGCCAGAGCTATACAGTGAGACCCTGTCTCAAAAAATAAACAAAAAAAAACTAATGAAAAATTCATTTTCCACCCACAGAAACACACAAGAAAAAAGAACCCCATCCCATATTATTGAATTGGAAGAATTAACACTGTTAAGATGTCCCTGCTTTGCAGAGTCTTCTGCCTGTACACCAGATGGGAGAACAAGGGCTTGCTGACTCAGCCCTTTGTAACCCCCAAAGAAATATTAATTCTGACAGTAATCCTTTAACCCTCACAGTGACCTATGCCTTCCGGTGTATTTCCAAAAGCAAAACCTAATCAGGCTTGAGTGCAGTGATTCCTTGTAGGATGCTCCCAGGCAGGGTGCAAAGTTAAGGATTTCTATCAGTTTGAGTCTGGTTTCTGCTTTGGGAGTTCTCTGAGGTCAAGAATTGTGCCAAAAAGTTTAGCCTTTTATTGATATGAGGGACAGCATTTTGTGCCCATAGCCAGGCAGTCAGTAGCCACAGGGAGAGTTACTTCCTTTTGGCAGAGAGACTAGCTGGGAACTGCTCTGGAGTATCAGGGAATTAGGCATGCCGCCCAGCACAGGGGATCAAGGAAGGGCAAAAACAGTACCCACCAAACGGTTGGTCATCACCTGTGTTCTCTATTAATAACTCAAAACTATGAAGAAGTGGGAAATGAAATTCTAAGACAATGTGCTGGAAGGAGCTCCCCAGAAGTGGAGGGTGGTGTGGGGGATGGGGATGGAGGGCAGTGAGCAGGACACAAATGAGAACAAAGTATAATGACATAAATATGCAAACGCCACAACTAAACCCATCGCTAACCTAAGCTAACAATCAGTGAGGTAAATATAAAACAGCAGGATGCCAGTTTTATACAAGTGAGGCAAACAAATGGACATTTTATCTCAAGAGCTCTATAGCTGCATGGGAGGCATGACAGAAAGAAAAAAAAAAGCATGTACATAACTGGTGTGGAAGTTTAGCTTCCTATCTCTGCCATTGCCCGATCCTGAGACTCATAGGCTGCCCTCCGCTCGTTTCTAACCTCGGTTAGGAAAATAATTATCTATGTGTTCTGCTCCCTAGATACAAGTAAAACCATCCACATTTGGGACCTTAGACAATGATATGAAAAAAAGCATCGTCCACTGTAGAATGTCCTTGTCATCAATGTCTCAAAACAGAGTAACATGTTACATTGGAAAGAAAATCAGTTTTGTTCTGTTCAGAGACATGACTAAAATGCATAAAATTTGAAAAGTGTTTAAGATTCGTCCTATTAGATTAAAAGAGAAACTGATAAAATTTATTCTTTGCTACAGTGGTAGCAAAATATGTATACAGTCATCTTAACTTCTCTGAGGTAGAAATTACGTAGTCTATAAGAGCTTCTGGAAGCTGCATTTGGTGTTCCTTTTTGTCTTCACGTCTTGTAAGTCTTTCAGTGTGATAGCAAGTGTCCTTATTTGTTTAGTTGGTTTGTAAGACTAGTAACTCATGTGATCACAATTTATGTCTCAGTGAGATTTGACAGGAATAAACTTAAGATATATATTTAAATGCTTAGTCACCAGGGAGTGATACTGTTTCAAAGGATTAGGAAGTGTGGCTTTGTTGAAAGAAGTGTGTCACTGAGGGTAGCTTGAAGGTTTCAAAAAGCCCACATCAGGCCCAGTGCCCTTATTGCTGCCTGTGAATCAGGGTGTTAAACTCTCAGCTACTTCTCCAACACCATGTCTACCTTGTGCTGCCCCGCTCATAGTGAGAGTGGACTGTCTTTGGATCTATAAGCAAGCCTTTAATTAAATGCTTTTGTTGGTAAAAGTTGCCTTGTAATGGTGTCTCTTTATAGCAGTAGAACAGTATCTGTGGTGGTTTGTCTATGCTTGGACGGGGGAGTGGCACTGTTAGGAGGTGTGGCCTTGTTGGAGTAGGTGTGTCACTGTGGGCGTGAGCTTTAAGAACCTCTTCCTAGCTGACCAGAAGCCAGTCTTCTCTTAGTGGCCTGTAGATGAAGTTGTAGAACTCTCAGCTCCTTTGCACCATGCCTGCCTGGATGCTGCCATCTTCCTGCCTTGATGATTATGGACTGAACCTCTGAACCTGTTAGCCAGCCTGTTAAATGTGCTTATAAGAGTTGTCTTGATCATGGTGTCCGTTCACAGCAGAAAACCCTGACTACGACACTGTCTTTGTTGACACTCCCATGGATCCAAAACTCAGAAAGGACCAGAAGGCAAGACAAGAGGTCACTTGTTGATCTTATTTAGCATTAAAACATCAGAAGTACACACTAG